TGCTTCACTCCATTGGTCACTGCGAATGCCTCTGAGACAGCTCCGTTGTCCGTGACTCGCGCCATCATACCGTCGTGCAGCTGACGCACCATCTGAGTGAATCGCTCCGGACAGCCGAATTTCTGCATGATCTTCCACAGTCCTTCACGATTCACCGTGTCGAAGGCTTTCGTCAGGTCCACGAAGGTAGAGTACAGGTGGGTCCGCATCTACTGACACTTCTCCTGAAGTTGACGGGCGGCGAAGATCATATCCGTGGTCCCACGATGACAACGGAAGCCGCATTGGCTTTCCGGCAGAAGGCCCTGTTGGAGATGGTTATTGAGGCGGTTGAGGAGGATTCGTGCGAAGATCTTCCCGGCGATGTTCAGCAGGGAGATGCCGCGGTGATTGTCGCAGACTTGGCGATTCCCTTTGCGCTTGTAGAGATGCACGATGGTTGCGTCTTTGAAATCTTGCGGGACTTCACCTTGACGCCACATCTCCTGGAAGAGCGCAGTCAGGTGATCCATTAGTTGGGGACCTCCGTGCTTGTAGACCTCAGCAGGGATCGCGTCCGATCCGGGTGCTTTCCCGCTGGACATCTGCTGCACGGCCCTGATGGTCTCCTGGAGAGATGGCGGGAGGTCGAGGTCCACGTTGGTCTCCACTTGTGGCAGGCGCTCGATGGCGGCGTCGGAGATGACGGAGGGGCGGTTGAGGACGCCTCGAAAATGCTCGGCCCATCGCTGCAGGATTTGCGTCTTCTCAGTCAGGAGAGTGTTGCCGTCGGCGCTGAGGAGAGGAGCAGTGCCCTTCGTCGGCGGACCGTAGACAGCTTTGATCGCAGAGAAGAAGTTCTTCCATTCGTTGCGGTCCGCGTACCCTTGGATCTCCTCAGCTTTGCGAGCAGTCCAGGCGTCCTGTATCTCGCGCAGTCGTTGCTGAAGTTGGCGGCGACTGCGGTAGAAGGCAGCTTTGGTGGCATCAGTGGGGTGATCTACGTAGGCTTTGTGTAGGCGGTTCTTCTCAGCTAGCAGATTTCTGATGGCGGCGTCGTTGTTGTCGAACTAGTCCTGGTGTTGGCGGGAAGCGCGACCGAGGACGGCGAGCGCCGTCGACTGGACCGTGTCTCGCAGTTGACACCAGCGGTTCTCCACGGAGGCGTTCTCGGCAGCGGCGGCGTCGTCGGCGGCGTCGTCGGCGGCAGCGATAGGAAGGTTGTCTAGCCGTTGAGCTAGCTCATTGCTGAAATGGAGATGGTGAGCGGGCAAAGACAACAAGGTAACATTCAGCTTACCTGGGGGTCGCTTACCTTGTGGTCTCCTGCGAGGCTGTAGGCGAATACGCATCTTCGAGATGACGAGGCGATGGTCGGTCCACCCGTCAGCACCCGCGATCGCCTTCGTCACCAGCACGTCACGCTGATCTCGCCTCCGGACGAGGACATAGTCCAGCAGGTGCCACTGGCGCGACCGAGGATGCCTCCAGGTGGCCTTCTCTCGCTCCGGCAGACAGAAGAACGTGTTCGTCAGCATGAGGCGGTGTTCTGCGCAGGTGCGGAGAAGCAGCAGACCATTGTCGTTTGAGCCGCGGAGACCGTGGGGACCCGGCACTCCTCTCCAGGCAGTATGATCTGTGCCGACGCGGGCGTTGAAGTCGCCAAGGACAATCAACTTGTCCGCCTTCGACACAGTCGCCAAGAGGGCGTGCAGGTCCTCGTAGAATTTGTCTCTGACGGCGTCGGGGTGGGTCATCGTCGGAGCGTAGGCGCTGACGATGGTGGCGAATTTGCCTCCCCAGAGAGGCAGGCGGAGGCTCATCAGGCGATCGTTGATGCCCTGCGGCAAACAGGGCAGTCGTCCCACGATGTCGTTCCGAATGGCGAAGGCGACGCCCGCGTCTCGTCGCTCTGCCCTGGGTCGACCACTCCAGAAGAAGGTGTAGCCGGCACCCACCTCCTCCAGTTGGCCTTGTTCGGAGAAACGGGTCTCGCTGAGTGCGGCGATGTCCACCTTGTAGCGCGCCAGTTCTCGTGCCACTAGCGCCGTCCTCCGCTCCGGTCGGTTGCTCCTCGGATTGTCTAAAAGGGAACGAACATTCCAGGCTGCCAGAGTGAGCGCGCTCACCCTGCCAGTCTGGTGACAACGAGTGGGGCGACGGGAAGGAGACGGAGAAGAAGATGACGAAGGAGAAGAATAGGCAGAAGAATAGACCGAGGTAGAGGAAGAAGAGGTAGGATGAGGAGAATGAGTATGGTTGTTGTTGTTGTTATTGGTATTGTTGTTGTTTCGATTTTGATTGTTTCGATCATGTTTAGACGTCTGCGGCCCTGGCTAGCCTGGAGACGGCGTGGTACCCAGCAATGTTTAGGCCACATTTTCTAGGCCCTTCCCCTCGTGGGGGCTGGCAGTGCCATCGCTGAATAGGGCTGCCATGTGCCGTTGTGGCACGGCCGAACTCCACTATGGGACCACGACTTCGGGTTGTAGTGGAGAGCGACTCGAATTCGCCGTAAGCCGCGGTCTCCGTCGGCGAAGGTGGGCGCGTCAAGGCGGTGTCGATGTGGAGATCCATCCCGTCACCGGCTGTCGAGCGACGTGCAGAGACGGACCACGTCACGACGGTGCCGACACAAGGTTCCATCCGACCTTCCATCCAGCGGAATCCGCAAACCCTGTGCACACGGCACAGCGCACAGGGCCCCCTCACCTGGTTTAGCCCGCCGGTCGAGACGGTTGCCCGGGGTGTGGCCGCTGAGCAGAGCCCAGCTACGTGGAGCCACAGGTGAGAGTTGAGTGCCAGCAAGTGGACGCTAGGCGCAGTCTCACCTGCAAGCAAGTGAGCGACCACCACGACCATTACGTGAACCCACCGCTGACACCCCTACACCCCGATGGAAGCATCATACAGCGCCTCTGAATGTCGACCGGACGACTGCCGCTGATGCGTGCGTGCAAGTATGTACTAGAGGGGCAGTGTCCTAACACGCGCCCGGCAAAGGATACCTACAAGGTGTCTTAATCTAGTAAGTATTCTCGGTGATGTTCCCAATGCGTCCGGATCTTCCCACAGTAATGAGTTTGTGATGGCCCTACTGCAACACTGAGCCTCTCGCGCGTACTTCATTGAGCGTAACAGCAACAGTCTAGGTTCCGGCCCATCAAGGCTATCGAAACCGGCCAATCAACTCCAAGGCCGACTCAGACATGCCCTGCCTCAAGGTGCTATGGCAACTCCCTTGTAATACACGGATTACTTGTCGGCTTTACCTCGCCTGAGATGATATTCTTCGAAGGGGGAGGGGGGGGGGGGCGGTTGGTCGGAGCCGGCGACGGCTGCAGTCACGTCTATTTCTGCATTCATATTTATGATACTCACACACCCAATCAGACAAACTCCAAAAAGAAGTAGTGATCCCAACACGTCGGTTTCCGAAAGTTCATTAGCAGAGGAATTAAAGATGGGAGGAATTAAAAAGGCTTCTCTGCGGGAACAGGAAATGGAAAACAGGAACGAAAAAATCCTCCTTCAGTGTATTCTTCTGCTAGATGAGACGACGGTCCACGCAGCCCTTCCGCAGGCGTGTCCGGTTCGCGCTCTGACACAGCCGCTCCAAAGAGGCCGGAAAACGTCGGTCAGGCTGTTGTTCAAAAAAGTTAGATCAAAGCCTAGTTAACATGCTTTCACCTTACATCCTCGCTGTCACTCGGAACGCCCACTCTGGCGGCGCCGGGCGTACACCTTCTTCCGGCTGCGAACAACCAATCTTTACTTCGGCCATTCTGCACGGAAAACAATATCCTCTCAGCTGGCGTCAACCTGCTCTTTCTATTTGGAATCGGATTTGAAAGTCGCAGCGGCTGCGGTCTGCCCGTGGCTTTAGCTGCCTCGATAGGTTCGTTCATTCGAATGCACGGTAAAACCGACTATAGCAAACACGTTACTCATATGGTTCAGAAGTTGGGAACCGAAGTTTCACTCCTGATCCCCTGACTTCACAACTCTGACTGACATTGCGATGACTAAAACACGTGAAAAGTGCAGTCGCCTCACAATACTAGTAAAAGAGTTGCTCAGTCCACAACAGACTCACTCTGCAAGTCAGAACGAAGGGGCATCGGGCGATTCGAACAGATGACCGTCGGAATTAGAGGTCGAGGAAGCGGGGCTCTTTAGGCAAATTGGCAATTCGAGACAATGCAGTATTAATTAAGTTTTGCCTCCAGGAAAGGAGTGGACTGCTTATCTCACTGACAAATTTTGTGAGGTAATTTGGAATACTTAGTTCTTGGCAGTACACACGACATCTTCTGAAAGCTGCGGCAATACGAGTTAGGGCTGGGATTGGGGTTAGACTTAGGTGATCATAATATCAACCATGACACTAACCTCAACTCTAGCTGTAGCTGGTGTTTAATGATTCCACATCCAAAACGTGTTCCGAGTCTTCAGCTCCTCTGTGCTTTGTCTCTGAGGGCGTCATAAGTGTTCAGATGTCCTTGCTACCTCAATACGATGAAGCAGAAGAAATTGAGCACGGTCCCACGGCGGAATATTGGTTTATGCACTGATGCGTGCACGGTTAGTTTTCAGTGGTCTGGAAGTGTCTGATGTACTCTTAATAAAGCGCCTTACACTTTGCTCTAAGGTTGATGAGCTAAACAACTAGACGAGGCCAACATGAGGTCCTCGGTAATACACATTTTTACCCTTTTCTTTGATTTTTTCCACTGTTTTGAGCCACACAACGCAGATTTCCACAAAACCCGGAATTGTTGTCGACATGACAGTTATTCCGCAGTGAAGCGGGAGATGACAGCCATGTGGCCTGACTTTCGATATTCTTGCAGCTGTATGCGTTACCAGCTTTCCGTAATCTGTAGATATTATGGTGAGGTTTGGTTCTGCGGCTCCAGTTGATTGACACCACATGGTTAGCCAACTAAAAAAATTTTAGAATGCGCGGTTACGCTACCATTGCATACATCCCGTGTTTGCGCTTTCCTTACTACTTTAACCCAGCTAGTGACTGTGCCACGGGGAAAAGGGTGCTTTTACGCTAGCCGCTGTTACATCAGGTATCAGTTTACACGCGGTTCCCTGCGCGTGTTTCGATCTCCGCTTGCGCTCTTTTCGCCTTCCTAATCCGGCGAGTGGCTATAACTGGTATGTTAACTCAAATAGTTAATCAAGTGGACTGCAGGACCAAACATCGCCGATACTATATTTGATGAGATTGTAGATTATGTCATGTAGAGGTCAGTTGTTTGTCCCTAAACGGGCCACTCGGTAGATGTGCTGGATCAACACAGGGACTGGGTAGGACTCTGGTAGGCGTTATTGGGACTGCGCAAACATAACAAATGCTAACATTCGAAGTGCGGTGGAAGGCCCAGTTGCCGGCTCACGCCGCTCCATTTGGGGTTTCTGCCATCCTCCAATGTTATGGTTGGATAAAACCCTGGTCAAGTGTATGTTGTGGACCAGGGGTTGTGGAGTGGAGCGCCTAGGTGCGGTTCTCGCCGTGCCAGCCGTCTGCGCCCCGTTAGCCCCGGTCTTCTTGATTATGTCTTGACACCGAGCCCAGGTGGGGAGGAGAGAGTGTGGCAGTTCGCGTCTCCTTGCTCTTCGCCTTTATCACGCTGCCTTCCTGTCCGCCTCACACTCCTTGTCGATACGCTGCTGGGACGCGCGAGGCTTGTCACTAGCCTCGCGAGTGCTCCAGGCCAATCAACGCTCTCCCCTCTCTGAGTGGCTGGCGGACGCGGAGACAACGAAAGGAGCACACACGCGCTGGGTCTCAGAACCTCGAAGACGGACAAAAACAACAACTTGCCTGGAGAGCGCGATCGCGGCGACTGCCTACAGAGCCTTTGTGTACGCGCTTCCTCAGACAGTAAAGGTTGTCCAAATCAAACTGTCTTCCCTGACTTTTGATTGGGAATCTTTGTCTTGTCGACCACACAACATTTGACAAGAGTGCGGTACATGCTGTGAAAGTGTGCTATCACTACAAAATAATTTATGCACAGGTCACCGTTCCTGCTCTCGCCCTTTTGTGGAACTTACAGTGGACATCGTCAGATACGACGGTCGAAACTGTCAGGTCAATTGCGCGTAAGAAACTGATCTAATTAGCATGAGATAAAGGTCGCTTAGTCCGACGTAAACTGCTCTTGGAATAAAAGAACTGTCAGGTAATGTGCCCGGCTGACAGGTGGTACTACATGGTAGAATCCGTGAAGCAAATCCGGACGGTCGGCGGTTCGAATTTTCATCTAGTTAACGCATTCTTGTCCCATGTTTCCCCTATTTTGAAAGTGTGGATAGGGGATGACATTACATGTGCCTTTCTATTACGATGGTCCGGAACCTGACGCAACATCCCTGTAATCCGACGTTTGAACGTGGCAGGGTATCAGCACGCCGCAGATCAGTCTCACCTATCCAATCCGCGCGTGAGTGAGCAAATTAGCCCGACGCCGGGCTGTGCGCGACCTCCCGGCGCTGGCGGCCGACGAAGGTCCGCCCACGCTGGCGCTCAGAGTTCAACCAATGGGAACACGCGAATCGGGCGACGTCATGGCCCGTTAGCCCTGGACAGAAGGGGGGGGGGGTGATGTGCGCGCAGCGATTAATGCGGTGGATTTGTTCTCTGCCATCCTCTGTCTATCTTATGTTCCACACAGCAGCGGACGGCACGCTGCTACGATCTGTGCAGTCGAAGGTTCATTACAGAGTAGCGCAAGTCAGTCCAGAGAAACAACTTTAGGCCAATCAGCTTCACGTATAAGACGAAAAGTTACACATGACAGCAGTACTCATTTATTCTCCAAAATAAAGCAGAATCGGGACACACTGCCATGTTTTATCACTGAAAATGCAGATTTCTTCCTGCTTATTAGCGTTTGGACGAGCTGGGCCTGCCATGTGACTGCTGGTCACCTAAAATATTAAGAAAATGCTGTTATATCGGTAGTTTTGTCTGTGTAAGGTGTTATTCCGATTGTGAACGTTAATGATGATTTTATTTTTCTTGCCCTGCAATGAAGTCTAAATAAACTGCAACGGACAGCTACATAACTAGGTGAAGAGCGTTTTCAGTTGACTGAGAAACAGGGACCTTTAATGATATCAGTACATCCTGCTTCCTTTGCAGCCTTGGCCTATTTTGGCCTATTTCAAACCTTTTCCGGAAGGCAACACTCAAAATCGTGATAGATCGAAGTTAGTTGGCAGAATTTTGACTCTCCGGTTAATTTCTTTCCACAATTTAAGAACTAGAGATGTCTAGCGAAGCGCCAGCCTTTCTAATTAAATTATTACTAATGTGGCAAACAAAGAGTACTTTTGGCCGATGAAACTCTGCTTGCACTGTTATCTCTCGGACATTTCGTCGGGACAGAATGCACAACAACTCACTATCCGTCAAGTAAAATTTCTTGGATTTTCTAATCGCAAAGTTGATTCTGATCGGTCAGTCAGTACGGAAAATTTGTTCTTTTTCTACCAAAGGTTTCCAGATAGTCAAATTCTGACAATATTTATTTATATTCGTGTAAAGAAAGCTCATGCACTATCTATCTGCGTACTTCGTCAATTTCAACCAATGCCCAGCGGGCTGACATTTCAAAGCAAAACATATGACGAGGGGTGTTATTATAGTAATGGATTTTCTGAAAACGGCTTATCCTACAATAACTCACCTGGTCGCCAAATTTCCCAATCTGGTATTGGAAGGGAAAAACTTTAAGTTAGTTTCGTTTACCGAACAAAGAAACACAACCTGCACGCAGAACACTTGGTCTTTTCGTCTGTACGACAAACAAATAATCACGCATTCAAGACTGTTTAAAGTTCACCATACCCTGAAACCCCGATCCACCAGCACATAATACACCATCTATGTTGCCATAAGCTTGAGAGTAAGTTGTACCAGATACCACTTACGATGATAGATGGAAACATTTTAAAGCCAAATAACCTGGCGAAACGATAAAGATGATATTATTTCTAAGATGCGCAATGACTATGGAAAGTTTTTAATCATCTTTCTTCGGCGTTTTGAACATCCCATACTCGACATTTTTCTCACTGGGGCTGAGGTGTTCGATTCTAGTCCCCCCCAGGAACATTTTTGGACCTTCAGGGTCCGTCATCACCATAATCTGTCCTAAACATGTTCTACCTGTTTAAGCTGCGACCTGATAGGCGCTACTTTTACTAAGTCAAGTCCGTGTTTAGCATGGTGGAGACGGAAAATTCGTTTTAAATCAACCACTATTCTCAGTCTCCTTCCAAGCAGGTCCGGCTCAGAGAAAGCAGTCTTCGAGGGAGCAAAGAAAGAGAAGTACATCCAACTC